AAGTCAATAAAGAAATAACTAATTTTTACTATAGTCTAAATGCATATGTCTACAAACTTAAATCAAGACATTTCGTGATTCTGACTATTGTTTCTGAAATCTATTTTCAATCAGATTAAGAAAAAACAATTCCTGTTTGTCTGCTCCTTCCCCCTTATTAGGTCACCTGAGTCACTCAGGTGACCTATTGCTATCCGTTCTCGTCCGTCGGCGTGCGTCGTGTGTTAACATTTGAACATTTTTAGCTTCTTCTCTGAAACCGCTTAACCAATTTCAACCAAATTTGGCATATAGCATCTATGGGTGAAGGGGAACAAAAATTGTGAATTTCATGGTCCCTGCCCCCCTGGGGCCTGAGGGGTGGGGCTAAAACCACCAAAAATAATGCAATCTTTAAAAATCTTCTTCTTTACTCCAGGACATCAAGCAGTCAAACTGTTGGCATCATTGTAATAAGCAGTGAGCCCTCTACCAAAATTGTGAAATTCATGGCCCCTGGGTCAGGGGTTCTGGCCCCAGGGTGGGGCTATATAGATCATATAGTGAAAGTGCATTATTTCTTTGAAAATCTTCTTCTCTGCTCCTGGGTATTAAATAAAGTAACTAAGTACATAGTTATGAATAGGAATAGTGCCTCTTCCAAAATTGTGAAATTCATGGCCCCAGGGTCAGGGGTTCTGGTGTTAGGGCGGGGCTCTATTGATTATATAGTGAAAATGCATTAATTCTTTGAAAATCTTCTCTGCTCCTGGGTATTAAATAAAGTAACTAAGTACATAGTTATGATGAGCAAGAGTGCCTCTTCCGAAATTGTGAAATTCATGGCCCCAGGGTCAGGGGTTCTGGCCCCAGGGTGGGGCTTTATAGATCATATAGTGAAAGTGCATTATTTCTTTGAAAATCTTCTTCTCTGCTCCTGGGTATTAAATAAAGTAACTAAGTACATAGTTATGAAGAGCAAGAGTGCCTCTTCCAAAAGTGTGAAATTCATGGCCCCAGGGTCAGGGGTTCTGGTGTAAGGGCAGGGTTCTATTGATTATATAATGAAAATGCATTAATTCTAGGTACATAGTTATGATGAGCAAGAGTGCTTCTACAAAAATTTTGAAATTCATGGCCCCAGGATCTGGGGTTCTAGTGTTAGGGCAGGGCTCTATTGATTATCTAGTGAAAATGCATTAATTCTTTGAAAATCTTCTTCTCTGCTCCTGGGTATTAAATAAAGTAACTAAGTACAGAGTTATGATGAGCAAAAGTGCCTTTTCGAAAATTTTGAATTTCATGGCCCCAGGGTCAGGGGTTCTGGTGTTAGGGCGGGGCTCTATTGATTATATAGTGAAAATGCATTGATTCTTTGAAAATCGTCTTCTCTGCTACTGGAGATTATTTAAACAAACTAAGTGCATGGTTATGATGCATAAAGATGCCTTTTCAAAAATTTTGAATTTCATGGCCCCAGGGTCAGGGGTTCTGGTGTTAGGACGGGGCTCTATTGATTATATAGTGAAAATGCATTGATTCTTTGAAAATCTTCTTCTCTGCTACTGGAGATTATTTAAACAAACTAAGTGCATGATTATGATAGGCAAGGATGCCTCTTCCAAAATTTTCAAATATATGGCCTCAGTTTTTGGGGTTCTTGAGGAAGGAGGGGGGGGGGGCTCTATTGATTATATAGTGAAAAAGCATTAATTCTATTAATTAATCATTAATTAATCCTTTCTGCTCCTTAGCGTTGAGCTGATAAATAAATTGCTTAGCTATGATGAAAATGTGAGCTTCGAACAGAATTTTTAAATCTTGTGGTCCTAGGGTCAGGGGTTCTGGCATAACTAAGGGGGGGGGGGGGGAGGCTTTTGATAATATAGTGGAAAAGTGTTAATTCTTTGAAGTCCATAGGTATGATGATGAGGGTAACTCTTCCAAATTTGTAAATTTCTTGACCCTTGGTCTTGGGTTCTGGTGTTAGGGTAAGGCTTTGTTGAATCTGTAGTGAAAATGCATTGTACCTGTGAAATTCTTCTCTGCTTCTTGGCATATTGGAAGAAAACTGAGTAAAAGTTTAAATGATATAAGTAAGCGTATTTCTACCAGATTTTTGAACATCTGGACCATTTGTCTAAGCATTCTAGTCCTGGGCAGGGCTCTATTAATTTGTATTCTACTGAGAGAAGTTATTCCCCTTTTCCGTTCACCTTTGATAATTAATCACTGTAAATAATGTATTTGAAAGGTTGATAGAATAAGATAATTATGCAAGAATGTTTATCATATAATTCAAAAAGTATTTTCTTAGTTTTAATAATCAGGTTGACCTGTAAGTAATAGATAAATAAAAATGAGACAAAAATAACTTATCTTATTAAAAGTTCTTCAAAGACCATAAGAGAGGTCAATGCTAGAGGTCTTAATATGGGTTTAAAAATAGTACTGAAGCACTAATAGTTTGTTAATAATCTGCATGGTGATAGTGTTAAGTGGGGGACAGATTAGAACTTAATTTATGAGTTGATACTGAATACTAGACTAATTATTTTGTTGATCCTGATCTTCCTACTTCTCTTGCTTAAGGGCAACAAAGCTTCATCTATCAGTGTATTTAACTTCTAAATTGTTGTATTATACTCAGGTGACCGCTAAGGCCCTTGGGCCTCTTGTTTTACATTTAGTCATATTTCTTATATACAATACATGTATTCCATATTACTCACATACATCAATAGCAGGCAATATTTTGTCACATGAAGTCATCGTTCTATTTTATGTGGGGTAAATCAAATGTAACCTTTGAAATTCAGTTACTAAGGAGACAATCAAGGTCCCATTGACTTCTTGTTTAAATTTGAATCTCTTTTGTAGTGTTTTATATGATTAACAAAATAACTAGCATTTATATAACAGACTCATATAATCTTGTAAATTATTAACCATTTAGCAGTCAAAAGACCAAGGCATGTGTGGCTTCTAGAAGAGGATGAGGCAATACGGAACTTTTTCAAATGTGAAATAAATGATGTTTCCAATTTAGGGAACAAGGGAAAACTACAAGGTATTTTTTAGCGCATTTCCTTGAAGTCCATGTGGTTAACTTCACTCTGTATTCTGACATTAGATTCAGCTCTTTTTTTTCAATTTTAAAAGATATGGAGCACCAATTCACAAGTAATTATTATAGCTATGCCTGAACCAAACTAGCATGGATAATGGATCTGTGGATAAATGAATCCTACAAGTTACTATATTTTGTAGATGAATGACCATATGTAAGTTTTTGGTTTTAGTCCATTCACTAGTAACCTGGACTAAACTTTCATGGATGTTGTATAGGGTTTGGGTCTATCTTGTTGAGAAAATAAAGAAAAGCTTGGAATTTTTTTTTTTTGCACATTTTGGAATATCAGCCTTATCCTAATTTACCATAAAAGGCACTGTCACGATGACTGTAAAGGTTTTCATAATCAATATAGTACCAGGTATTTAAACATTGGTGCATTTACCTGATGTGTTTTTGCATCACTAATTTTCAAAGCTGGAGAAATGTAGCTCTCTGGTTGAGAAAATTTGGAACCAGAGAGCTACAGATTTAGTTTATTTTCTTTATAGTGACTAAGAAAATACATACATTCATATCTGAATACCCAGTGGTTTTGAAAGACTATGACTATAAAGAAAAAGTAAAAAAGATTCGCACTAAAGTGATAAATCTCAGAAGGCAGAACAGGCAGAGATACTACAAGTACATGAAGGAGTTACAACATAATTAAAAGAAGAGTATAATTCCCCAACATCTCTATTGATCTTCATTAAAAAGGTAAGAAAGACAAAAACTACTTGTCACTTTAATTTTCACTGTTTGTAAATGAAGAGCTTCAAGTTCAGAGGTAAAGTGTATGTTAATCATTTGTTTGTTGACATCTGTCTGTAAAAAAATTCAGGAACACTACTGTAAATCTGGAAATTTTGGCATCAATTTACTTTCATGACTTTGGGTCAAAATGGCACATATTAGGTTTTATGACTCCAAATTTTGTGAATTCACATCGTTGCTATTGATCAAAACGTAGGGAAATAAACTAAAAAAATTAAGTTAAACCTATTTTTTATCAATCATGCTCAAGCTTTTTCTATCCAAAACAAATCCAAATGCAACAGTCTCTTCAACCATTGTTGTGTGAAAATGTGTCCTAGTGGTTTAGCAGTGTCCGCATTAAAAAATGGAATACTTGAGAAAGAAGGGCTTTGCAACAAAGCGTGGAACTTACGCCAACCCACAATCTGGAGGCTTTGAGGTCATTTGAATGACACATCATTTCCCGCAGTAAGATTTCTTTACTCTTGGTTACATAAAAAAGTTTGACTGTTAATTAATAGTATGTGTAAGATTCTAATGCATGTTAAAATGTATGTTGAAATTTATTTTTCAGATCCATGAAATGATGTACTGCTGTTGCTGTCAGTGAATACTTGTTGAAAGCTCCTGCCTGAGAAAGAAGGCCCTTTGCGACAGAGCGTGGAACTTACGCCAACCCACAATCTGGAGGCTTTGAGGTCATTTGAACGACACATCATTTCCCGCAGTAAGATTTCTTTATTCTTGGTTATGTGAAAAAGTTTGACTGTTTATTGATAGCATGTGTATGTTTGTAATGCATGTCAAAATGTATGTTGAATTTTTTTATTCAGACCCATGAAATGATGTACTGCTGTTGCTGTCAGTGAATACTTGTTTAAAGCTCTTCCCTGAGAAAGAAGGCCCTTTGCGACAGAGCGTGGAACTTACGCCAACCCACAATCTGGAGGCTTTGAGGTCATTTGAACGACACATCATTTCCCGCAGTAAGATTTCTTTACTCTTGGTTATGTGAAAAACTTTGACTGTTTATTGGTAGTATGTGTAAGATTCTAATGCATGTTAAAATGTATGTTGAAATTTATTTTTCAGATCCATGAAATGATGTACTGCTGTTGCTGTCAGTGAATACTTGTGTAAAGTTCCTGCCTGAGAAAGAAGGCCCTTTGCGACAGAGCGTGGAACTTACGCCAACCCACAATCTGGAGGCTTTGAGGTCATTTGAACGACACATCATTTCCCGCAGTAAGATTTCTTTATTCTTGGTTATGTGAAAAAGTTTGACTGTTTATTGATAGCATGTGTATGTTTGTAATGCATGTCAAAATGTATGTTGAATTTTTTTATTCAGACCCATGAAATGATGTACTGCTGTTGCTGTCAGTGAATACTTGTTTAAAGCTCTTCCCTGAGAAAGAAGGCCCTTTGCGACAGAGCGTGGAACTTACGCCAACCCACAATCTGGAGGCTTTGAGGTCATTTGAACGACACATCATTTCCCGCAGTAAGATTTCTTTACTCTTGGTTATGTGAAAAAGTTTGACTGTTTATTGATAGCATGTGTATGTTTGTAATGCATGTCAAAATGTATGTTGAATTTTTTTATTCAGACCCATGAAATGATGTACTGCTGTTGCTGTCAGTGAATACTTGTTTAAAGCTCTTCCCTGAGAAAGAAGGCCCTTTGCGACAGAGCGTGGAACTTACGCCAACCCACAATCTGGAGGCTTTGAGGTCATTTGAACGACACATCATTTCCCGCAGTAAGATTTCTTTACTCTTGGTTATGTGAAAAAGTTTGACTGTTTATTGATAGCATGTATAAGTTTGTAATGCATGTCCAAATGTATGTTGAAATTTATTTTTCAGACCCATGAAATGATGTACAGCTGTTGCTGTCAGTGAATACTTGTTGAAAGCTCCTGCCTGAGAAAGAAGGCCCTTTGCGACAGAGCGTGGAACTTACGCCAACCCACAATCTGGAGGCTTTGAGGTCATTTGAACGACACATCATTTCCCGCAGTAAGATTTCTTTACTCTTGGTTATGTGAAAAACTTTGACTGTTTATTGGTAGTATGTGTAAGATTCTAATGCATGTTAAAATGTATGTTGAAATTTATTTTTCAGATCCATGAAATGATGTACTGCTGTTGCTGTCAGTGAATACTTGTGTAAAGTTCCTGCCTGAGAAAGAAGGCCCTTTGCGACAGAGCGTGGAACTTACGCCAACCCACAATCTGGAGGCTTTGAGGTCATTTGAACGACACATCATTTCCCGCAGTAAGATTTCTTTATTCTTGGTTATGTGAAAAAGTTTGACTGTTTATTGATAGCATGTGTATGTTTGTAATGCATGTCAAAATGTATGTTGAATTTTTTTATTCAGACCCATGAAATGATGTACTGCTGTTGCTGTCAGTGAATACTTGTTTAAAGCTCTTCCCTGAGAAAGAAGGCCCTTTGTGACAGAGCGTGGAACTTACGCCAACCCACAATCTGGAGGCTTTGAGGTCATTTGAACGACACATCATTTCCCGCAGTAAGATTTCTTTACTCTTGGTTATGTGAAAAAGTTTGACTGTTTATTGGTAGTATGTGTAAGTTTGTAATGCATGTCCAAATGTATGTTGAAATTTATTTTTCAGACCCATGAAATGATGTACAGCTGTTGCTGTCAGTAAATACTTGTTGAAAGCTCCTGCCTGAGAAAGAAGGCCCTTTGCGACAGAGCGTGGAACTTACGCCAACCCACAATCTGGAGGCTTTGAGGTCATTTGAACGACACATCATTTCCCGCAGTAAGATTTCTTTACTCTTGGTTATGTGAAAAACTTTGACTGTTTATTGGTAGCATGTGTAAGTTTGTAATGCATGTCCAAATGTATGTTGAAATTTATTTTTCAGACCCATGAAATGATGTACAGCTGTTGCTGTCAGTGAATACTTGTTGAAAGCTCCTGCCTGAGAAAGAAGGCCCTTTGCGACAGAGCGTGGAACTTACGCCAACCCACAATCTGGAGGCTTTGAGGTCATTTGAACGACACATCATTTCCCGCAGTAAGATTTCTTTACTCTTGGGTATGTGAAAAAGTTTGACTGTTTATTGATAGCATGTGTAAGTTTATAATGGATGTTAAAATGTATGTTGAATTTTTTTATTCAGACCCATGAAATGATGTACTGCTGTTGCTGTCAGTGAATATTTGTTGAAAGCTCCTGCCTGAGAAAGAAGGCCCTTTGCGACAGAGCGTGGAACTTACGCCAACCCACAATCTGGAGGCTTTGAGGTCATTTGAACGACACATCATTTCCCGCAGTAAGATTTCTTTACTCTTGGTTATGTGAAAAAGATTGACTGTTTATTGGTAGTATGTGTAAGTTTGTAATGCATGTCCAAATGTATGTTGAAATTTATTTTTCAGACCCATGAAATGATGTACAGCTGTTGCTGTCAGTGGATACTTGTTGAAAGCTCCTGCTTGAGAAAGAAGACCCTGCTTGAGAAAGAAGGCCCTTTGCGACAGAGCGTGGAACTTACGCCAACCCACAATCTGGAGGCTTTGAGGTCATTTGAACGACACATCATTTCCCGCAGTAAGATTTCTTTACTCTTGGTTATGTGAAAAAGTTTGACTGTTTATTGATAGCATGTGTAAGTTTGTAATGCATGTCCAAATGTATGTTGAAATTTATTTTTCAGACCCATGAAATGATGTACTGCTGTTGCTGTCAAAGAATATTTGTTGAAAGCTCCTGCCTGAGAAAGAAGGCCCTTTGCGACAGAGCGTGGAACTTACGCCAACCCACAATCTGGAGGCTTTGAGGTCATTTGAACGACACATCATTTCCCGCAGTAAGATTTCTTTACTCTTGGTTATGTGAAAAACTTTGACTGTTTATTGGTAGTATGTGTAAGTTTGTAATGCATGTCCAAATGTATGTTGAAATTTATTTTTCAGACCCATGAAATGATGTACTGCTGTTGCTGTCAGTGAATACTAGTGTAAAGCTCCTGCTTGAGAAAGAAGGCCCTTTGCGACAGAGCGTGGAACTTACGCCAACCCACAGTCTGGAGGCTTTGAGGTCATTTGAACGACACATCATTTCCCGCAGTAAGATTTCTTTATTCTTGGTTATGTGAAAAAGATTGACTGTTTATTGATAGCATGTGTAAGTTTGTAATGCATGTTAAAATGTATGTTGAATTTTTTTATTCAGACCCATGAAATGATGTACTGCTGTTGCTGTCAGTGAATACTAGTGTAAATCTCTTCCCTGAGAAAGAAGGCCCTTTGCGACAGAGCGTGGAACTTACGCCAACCCACAATCTGGAGGCTTTGAGGTCATTTGAACGACACATCATTTCCCGCAGTAAGATTTCTTTACTCTTGGTTATGTGAAAAAGATTGACTGTTTATTGGTAGTATGTGTAAGTTTGTAATGCATGTCCAAATGTATGTTGAAATTTATTTTTCAGACCCATGAAATGATGTACAGCTGTTGCTGTCAGTGGATACTTGTTGAAAGCTCCTGCTTGAGAAAGAAGACCCTGCTTGAGAAAGAAGGCCCTTTGCGACAGAGCGTGGAACTTACGCCAACCCACAATCTGGAGGCTTTGAGGTCATTTGAACGACACATCATTTCCCGCAGTAAGATTTCTTTACTCTTGGTTATGTGAAAAACTTTGACTGTTTATTGATAGCATGTGTAAGTTTGTAATGCATGTTAAAATGTATGTTGAATTTTTTTATTCAGACCCATGAAATGATGTACTGCTGTTGCTGTCAGTGAATATTTGTTGAAAGCTCCTGCCTGAGAAAGAAGGCCCTTTGCGACAGAGCGTGGAACTTACGCCAACCCACAATCTGGAGGCTTTGAGGTCATTTGAACGACACATCATTTCCCGCAGTAAGATTTCTTTACTCTTGGTTATGTGAAAAAGTTTGACTGTTTATTGGTAGGATGTGTAAGTTTGTAATGCATGTCCAAATGTATGTTGAAATTTATTTTTCAGACCCATGAAATGATGTACAGCTGTTGCTGTCAGTGAATATTTGTTGAAAGCTCCTGCCTGAGAAAGAAGGCCCTTTGCGACAGAGCGTGGAACTTACGCCAACCCACAATCTGGAGGCTTTGAGGTCATTTGAACGACACATCATTTCCCGCAGTAAGATTTCTTTACTCTTGGTTATGTGAAAAACTTTGACTGTTTATTGGTAGTATGTGCAAGTTTGTAATGCATGTCCAAATGTATGTTGAAATTTATTTTTCAGACCCATGAAATGATGTACTGCTGTTGCTGTCAGTGAATACTAGTGTAAAGCTCCTGCTTGAGAAAGAAGGCCCTTTGCGACAGAGCGTGGAACTTACGCCAACCCACAATCTGGAGGCTTTGAGGTCATTTGAACGACACATCATTTCCCGCAGTAAGATTTCTTTATTCTTGGTTATGTGAAAAACTTTGACTGTTTATTGATAGCATGTGTAAGTTTGTAATGCATGTTAAAATGTATGTTGAATTTTTTTATTCAGACCCATGAAATGATGTACTGCTGTTGCTGTCAGTGAATACTAGTGTAAATCTCTTCCCTGAGAAAGAAGGCCCTTTGCGACAGAGCGTGGAACTTACGCCAACCCACAATCTGGAGGCTTTGAGGTCATTTGAACGACGCATCATTTCCCGCAGTAAGATTTCTTTACTCTTGATTATGTGAAAAAGTTTATAGTATTTAAACATTGGTGCATTTACCTAATGTGGGTTTTTGCATCACTAATTTATGCCGTTTCAAAAAGCGGCATAAGGCTGGGCCTAAGACTAAGACCTCTCCGATGAGTACTAAGCATGCGCAGATTGTATTCTGTTTGGTTTAGAGACTACAATTACATTTGGCGGATCAAATTAATATCAAACTAAAACCTAAATACAGAGGTAAGGCACAGAGAGCATTAGCGCAATTTTATGTTTTCTTTCTTCACCATCTTTTAAACAGATATATTACGCAAACCCATCTGTAATTTCAAGGTCAAAGCATTAAAATTTAATTACTATTTTTGTATGCTCAGATAAAAAAAGTCTTGATGGGTACGAATTACATTAGAAAAACATAAACGTGTACACGATAGTGATATTTCGATATAGAATCGTACATTAAAACCCAAACGATGTAGTACAAGTACTTGCGAAAAATTTGAATAAATTAAGCATGGAGAATTGTAAGAATTTTTCCTTTAAATATAAGCCATATTGCCTTTCACTTATTCTAAATACACATAAGGTAGTGGCAAAGGGCTGGAAGAGGCTCGTTGCAACAGTTTAAAAAGTGGAGGGGGGCAACTTCCCCCCCCCCCCCAAAAAAAAAAACCTAAACTTCAAAAATGGAGGAGCAACTTCCCAAATTAATGTGTGAAAAAAACTTCATTAACTGTCCATGTTAAAAACCTAAGTAACTGTCCAAGTCATGTTATTTGCCAAGTCCACAAGCTAATCAACTGTCCAAGTCATGGAATAATGGAATTTGCCAGTGCTCGACCTTACAGCGACAAGAAAGGGGGGGGGGGGGGCAACCAGTATCTTATGGAAAATTTAATATAGCAAAATATGTGTACTACACCTGGCCCCACTGCATTCTACGGCCCTTTTGAAAATTTAACAATTAATAAATAATACAGGTAAACTTCAGTATCTCGACATCGGATTTGTCGACAACCTGGAATATGTCAATGTCCTTCCGCGGTCCCTGCAGTATTTACTATATAAATGATTTGCAAAAACTCTGATACGTCGACCTCAATAATGTCGACAACCCGGGTTATCTCGACGTATATTCACAGTCCCAAGAGCAAGATTTACCCCGTATATGTTGACATCAGCAATTTTCTGCTCTACTGAACCTACGTGTTTGTCAGGTAGGGTCGCTCGTCACGCACAGATGACTCCGGGTATCTTGACGTCAAAATTTCACACCTTTCACACCCATGTTTTGACTGCTTGCTGCTTAATTAATTCTATAAACTGTGTTTGTGGGTGAATCCCAAGCCTCCTCGGCATCTTTGAGAAGTTAATTGGTTAATGTTCAGCTTGGGTAATATCATTGCTAAATCTACATGATTCTGCGTAAATGTACAGATGGTTATTTATATCGAAACCTACCATAACTTTTAAATTAGAAAAAGGTAACTAAATTACAATGAATAACAAACACACTGAACAATTCAAACTAAGGAATAAAAAGATGTTTTAATGATTTTTTGTAGATAAAATGTATTCAACAGGAAACAATCCAATTAACGACACAATTGACCAAATCAGTCGTAATCCATGCATCTGTAACATCACTACGTTAGTTTAGATACACAAATCTCTTAAAAAATAATTTTAATGTACATTCTTCCTGAATGAAATAAGAGAAAAAAATAATCCACATTTATTTTTTTCCGTATAGCGGATGTATACTTTATACGGTTCGATGTTTATAGAGCGCATTTCGTATCCTGTTCTGACAAAAAGGCAAGTTACACACGAATGCTGTAACTTTGTGAATTTAGAAAGATTTTGATTAAGAACACGTTTTATAAAGAAGATTTTTAAAATAACTTCTTAGATTGTAAATTAATTAAAAACAAGTACCTATTTAAAAAAAATGATAGACCCATCGCACATCTTATACACCATGACAGTTACTCCTTTGAAATAGGAAAAAACAGTATTACAGACAAGATAATGAATTACTGGAACATTTTACAAATTCATATTTTTCTGTTCTATAAATTTTATATTGAATTAAAGAGGTAATTAAGGTGAAAGGTTCATTTACTTGGCATAATTACAGAATATTTCTTATTATCGTAAATATATTAAATGTATATTGTTTGAGAAAATCAAAATCAATTGAAAAGAGTCAGAAAAAAAATATTAAAAGAAAACTTTAGGTTTCAATGATAGCCACAAAACAAGTGACATTAATTAATACATGTACTATACTGTGACAACAAATTATGATACAGACTATATTTTTCAAATTGATTTTTTTTTTCTTTTCACAAAGTCCATTCTGCTAAAATAATTAGTATGATCTACTTGAAGACACAAATGGAAACTAAGGCCAAATGTAAATATTGATATTGTCCATCATTCAGTTTTGATAGCTTAAGAGGAACTTACATCAGAGTCTGAAGAAAACTACAACACTGAAAGTGTTCTAGCTGATCTATTTTCTTTGTCAACTGTAGATTGGTAAACTACATGAACATGATAAATGAATCCTAAATCCAAATACCACCCTGACTTATAGACCTGAGGGAAAGCATATTAACCGAGCACAAATTGTGAGAAAGTTAATTTATGGATTTAAATTGTGTAGTCATTAATAATCATTGTGTTTTTCTCTTATAAAACATAATCTGTAGTGTAATTGATTACTTTAACGAAGTAATTGTAGTTTAATTAATTACTTTTCTGAATGAGAGTAATTTTAGTGGTAATTGTAATGGTAAAAATTCCAAAGTAATTGTAATTTAATTCATTACATTTCAAAGTAATTGACCCCAGGTCTGGTTAGGGCAGTGCTCTATTGATTATATAGTAAAATTGCATTAATTCTTTGAAAATCTTCTTTTACGCTCCTGGATATTAAATATAAACTAAGTACATAGTGACAATGAGTTATGACGAGCATGGTTGCCTCTTCCAAAATTATGAATTTTATGGTCCCTGGGTCAAGGGTTCTGGTGTTGGGTCGGGGCTCTATTGATTATATAAGGAAAATGCATAAATTCTTTCAAAATCTTCTTCTCTGCTCCCTGGAAATTATTCAAACAAAGGAGGTGCATGGTTATGATAAGGAAGAATGCCTCTTCCAAACAGTGAAATTCATGGCCCCTGGCTCAGGGGTTAGGTGAAAGGGGGGGGGGGGGGGGACTCTATTGATTATACAGGGTGTCCCAAAATATATGATACCATTTGAAATACCTACCACAAACACATCCCTTGGCCAATTTCTTTGATATATGTCTCTAAAAATATTTGAATAAGTACAATTTTTTAGCAACAAAATATTCTTAAAAAAAATTCTCACTCTTATGAGATTGCAACGCATCAAATTTACATCAAACTTTTACAAAAAACTGAAATTTCAATGAAAATGGATTATCAAAAGGGCTAGCTACCCTTATTTTGAAACTGTAATATTATCAATCCTAGTCTTAAGTTACTGCTGCTAAACCCAAACCAGAATCCTAACATATATAAAAGGTTTACCTCTGATGAAAACCCAGATGTTACTACCGAGACAGACACTGTTGTCTCAAGTTAAGGAACTTTGTGCTATGTCTAGACATTATCATTACACAGATAGAACGTCATTTAGAGGGAATCATTTAAAAACCATAGCATTTTTCAAAGTGAACTCATTTTGCTGTTTTCTTTTTAATGACTATCTAGTTATGCGAATAAAATTGGACAGTATATGCAATGTTTATAATGCATTTGTTGTAATTCAGTATTCATTAAATTAGGTTTTACAGAATCTTGAAATGGTATCATATATTCTGGGACACCCTGTATATTGAAAATGCATAATTTCTTTCAAATTTTTTTTTTCTATTACTGGTTATAAAGCAAAGAAAGAAGTGTATAGTTATGATGAGCAACGGTGCTTCTTCCAGAATTATGAGTTCAAGGCCCATGCGTCAGATGTTCTGGTGTAAGGGATTGGCTTTATTTATTTAATAATATAGTGAAAATGCATTTCTTTGAAAATCTTCTATGCTTCTGGGCATATTCGAGGCAAACAGAGTAGAAGTTTTAATATGCAAAGGTATTTTTACCAGAATTTTGAACACCTGGACCATTTAGTCAAGTGTTCTGGTCCTGCCCAGTGCTCTATTAACTTGTATTCTGCTGAGCAAAGTTATTCCCCTTTGCCATTCACCTTTGATAATTAATCACTGTAAACAATTTATTTGAAAGGTTAATAGAATATGAGAATTATGCAAGAATATTTATTGTGAAATACAAAAAGTACTTTCACAGTTTTAATGATCAGGTAGACTTGGAAAT